CTCATCTTTTAAATTTGGGATAATAGTACCCACCTCAAAGTGGTGCTGTAAGAATTAAATGAGTGAATATATGAAAAGGACTTAGGAGAGTGCCTTGCATATAGTAAGTCACCTCTAAATGCTTACCACCATTAATCCTTATCAACTGAGTTGAAATAACCACATAAGATCAATACTATTTTTTAAAGTCTGAAAGTATTTGCATCATAAGATACAAAACTCTGCCTATTTTCTAGGAAAAAAATATTTCCCCCTATCTTTTTCAAGCTTAATTCATTCATTTCACAAATATGTATTGAGCACTCAAGTACCATGCACTAGAAGATGTGCCAGGGATATCATGCTGAGCAAGAGAGACAAGCTCCCATGAAGCCTTAATTCTAGAGAAGAGAGAAAATAAACACATAAATAATAAAATGATCAAGATACTATCAGATAGTAATAAAGCTGTACAAAAAATAAAATGGTGATTTAATAGGTGGGTATCGGGGGGGTGGTCATGATAGGGGTGAGATACTCTACAAGTGAGATTGTTAAGCTGAGATCTGAACAAGACTGTTCCGCAAAGACTGGGTTGAGCACATTCCAGCAGAGGGAAGAGCAGGTATTAAGGGACAGAAAGATGGCCAGCATGGCTGGAGTGGCTTGAACTAAGCATTGGGAGATGATGTCAGAGATAGAGTCAAGAGCCAGATTATGTAGAGCCTTATAGGGCCAGGTGGAGTTTAGATTTTATCCTAAATGAGAAGAGACGCCATTGGCAGGTTAGAGTAAGGAAAGATGTAATCTGATTTATAATTCTAAACAGTCATCCTGGTAGCTGGACAGAAAATGGATTATAGAGGAGAAAGAGAAGAAGGCAGAGCTGCTAAGAGGCTACTGCAGTCAGGTGAGAGATGATGGTAACAGTGGGGATGGGCAGATTCTGGATGTATTTTAACGGGACAGTTGGCATGCTCAGAATGGATGTGAGGTGGGGATGAGAGAGAGATGAGGATCAAGAACGACTCTTGGTTTTGGCTTAAGAAACCAAATGGGTGCCAATTATTGAAGTCAGAAGACTAAGAGAGGTAGAAATTTGGAGAAGAAAATCAAGTGCTCTTTTATGGTAATTTTATTTTGACCACATGCACTGAAGAAGCAGCATTTGGATTTTTCTATATTGGAAATACACTTAAAAACTCATTTTTTAGTCTTCTGAAATTTTAGCATAGGTTAAGCTAATCTTAACTGACCAAAGAGGCAAATTCACTCTCCCTATATTATCTGAGTTACGTGTTCCATTTCTACATATATATGAAGCAAAATTTAAAGTATGTAATCCCTATAGCTTCCTGCTAAAAGTTTAAGGAAACATAAACAAAGAAAAAGAAACTAAGAACCAAACCTGCTTAACTTACATTGTACCAAACCCACAGTGTGACTTAAAGCAACATGGAATAAATGAATTTAACTGTGCTGATGACAGCAGCAGCCAAAACAGGTACCACACAGGAGCTACCAAAGGCTAGAACAGTTTATGTGCAATGCTTTATACCATTTCTTAAACGTTAAACATCATTCACACCAGAGTCATTTCTCTTCCATTTCAGGTTTTTGCACAGAGTACAATCAGTTCTGCTTTGTTTAGAAAATGGGAATTTGTTCCAATGCACTTGACACAGCAGAGACGATTTGAGGACAATACAAATTTAATGTTTGCTTATACACCATTTTGTTTATCTAGCAATGCTAGGTGAATGCAGAAAACTGCACCCAATTCATCCGAACCACAGAGGAATACACAAAACACACCCCCTCCTCAAACAGCTGCCAGCTGCCTCAGTTCACCAGCCCAGGTGATGAGCCACACCTATCCACATCTGGTTTTGGAGCTTCCATCTGATTTCAGAGAACCCACCTTCCAACGCTTCACAATAACTCACGAGCTGCAACCCTTCTGACGCCCACAAGCAAACTTCAGGTTTGTTTCAAGATAAAGTGCCATATTTATTGAACTATTTATACATTTCCTAACCTTTTAACGGGCTTAAAACAGTACCACCATTTTTATTAGGTTTCTATCTTTACTTGTCACTGAAAAAGTTTTTGAGTGTTGTGCCTCTAACTGCTTTATTCACAAGCCCTGGAACACATATAGCGGAAGTGACTATATCTGAATTGCAATTTCAGTCTTTCTGGGTAAAATTCCTAAAACCAAGCAAACATCTAGGATCATTCGGGTGATTAGAGAAATCTAACTGCAGTTTCTCTGAGTCATAAAATGTGTTTAATGACAATGCTAAGAATGAGATGGATTTTTCAAGTTTAAGAAAATAACTTTCTGGTTGAATACTATATATCAGGTGTTATTTCATTCACAAGTATGGTCATTTCTATCTTATTTGAGTGTTTAATTTTGACACTCTAATTATTTTATCTTTTTTTTTACATCTCACACTTATAAAAGATAAAAGTAGCTAAAGAGAAGTTCTTTTTCGTTTTAAAAGAAATACGCAATTTTGTGAAGTGTGCATGTACTGGGATAAAGTTACAAGTGCAACCTAAATTCATCCTAAAGAAAAGTGTTAATGCTGCCTAAATGTTGGATACTTACAGTGAAAGGAAAAGAAAAGAGAAAGGTAGGGAAAGGAAGAGAAGCAAAGAAATTTTACTCTTTTCACTTCCTAAGAAGCTACGAAAATCACCGCTTGAAAAAAATTTAATAGTGGAGTAGAAAAGTCTTCATATTCATTAAAATACTATACAGCTCTTATAAGCCAGACATACAACTGTGGCATATTTTATAAAAAAAACAAAAGAAGAGGAAATATTAACATCAAGAGTCTTGAAGACTGTTTCATTCTGAAGCCTTTGAGGCTTAGCAGGCGCCCTTCGGGCTGCACCTAACCAGCTCAGTGTGTGGGCGTGTACCAGAGGCTCCTGTCCACTAGGGGCTAGACTTTCACCAATAAACCGCTTTTACTATAGCATTTAAATAAAGTCCTATTTCACGGGCACACGGATAAAAAGACTTTTTGTTAATCTTGAAATGAATTTCTGATCATAAGAGAGATAATTTTTAAATATGTACCTGAGATCAGTTTAACAATTCAAAAAAATTGACTCAAAGAGGTACATTTTCAAATAAAATGCTACTTCAGGAAGTTTATATTCTGATATTAAAATGGTTTCATCATCGAAGCATTTGCTTTTTCTCCTCTTTTTCATCTCCCAACTTTTATGAGGGCTAAATTCTAATCATGCTTAATTAACATCAAGCAACCAAGTATTCATGGTGTGCCATTGTTATATAAATGTATTAGAAGCAGAACAAGTCTACAGGTGTTTTCAAAATTTTTTGGAATGCACTCATTTATCAAATATTTATTTACTTAATTCTGGATAATGATATTTGGGAATGCCTTAGGTTTTTAGGCTGTTTGTCCAGTTTTCTGTAACAAGGAGGTGAACTTTTATAATCACAAAGAAAGGGTAATTTATAAATTTAAATTCATTTATTGAACTCTGATAGATCCTGCTCTAGCCATACAAAGATGAAGATGACAAGAAGCCTATCTCAAGCTGGTCAGTCTCCTCAGAGACAGAGAGGTAAACAAACAAGGCCCTCCCAAAACAATGACTTTCCTTTTGCTCTAAAAAAGATGCGTAAAGGGCAGCACTATAGTATGAAGCAAGGTGAGCAACAGTTAAGATTCACGGCTTTGAAGTCAGAGAGAACATGATCTAAAGATTGGCTCTGCAGTGTGACTCTCGGTACAATTTTAGCCATCCTAAATTTCTCCACAGTGAATCAAGAATGATAAATCCCACCTCACAGGACTAAGTGAAATAATGTACGTAAAGCTTTAGTACAGTGCCTGGCACATACTAATTGTTCAAAAAATGGTATGTCTTTACAAAAGAGCACCAGGGAAGCATGGAGTAGGGCACTGAGAACAAACACACCTACTGATCAACGTACGACAGACAGACGAAGGCAGCTCCCCAGTGCACCAAGAGTCATCTACTCTGGATGTTCACTATGTCAGACTTACATGAAGATATAAATATATAGAGAGATGCAAGAAATAGAACTGCTTTATAGCGTAGAGTCTGTTTTGAAACTCTAAAACCAAGAAGATCATAGAATTCTCGCAGTAGGAATGAGTTGGCCAAGTTCTGCCCAAGGAAGTTCTCACAAGAAGGCATTATGAAATGTTCTTATTCCTCAGAACCTAACTTTAAAATGTTCCCACTGGAGTCCAATGGGAGTTTTATGGGAGTAAAGGATAGAATTAGGTCTTGTATATTTTTAAAGGGTCATTCAAAAAGGCAAAGTCTAAATTTTTTACAGATGGCAGAGTAAAGACTGATGTAGTTGGCCAAAACTGACCTTTTATGTTTTCCAAAAGCAAATGTTTACTGAAAGAGGACTCTACTATACTACCAATGGAAAAAAATCCTGGATGCTTATATTGGACAACTCAGTACAAGTTGGCTGCCAAATACATTTATAAAAATCAATAATAATATTTTCCATGGTACCTGTTTTCAAGCTTCCCTCAAACTTTTGCCCTGTAGTTGCTTTTTCTCAAACACAAATATGTGTCTGAAGAAAAACAACATTTTAGATGAGAATAGGCTGGTGAAAGCACATGCATTTTAGGAAGCTACTGTTAGTTTCAGTCTCTATGTGACCACAGTGGTGCACAAGCACGGATGAGGAGGATCGATTTTGCCAGCTTTTCTGGATAGTGAATTCAGAACTGATTTTAAGTTCTTCCAAAATGGAACTCCTTTTAAACTCCTTTCAAAACACAAGTCCCTTTTTCCAAGAAGGAAAGGGGCTTTAGAAATTTCTATGCTCTTTGGATGTTAAATAACTCTTCCAAAACAAAATTTTGATAAATTGAGTGAAAAAAGTTAGAAATATTAAAAACCATCTAACATAAAGGAGAAAAATTAAAGATGGTTTGTCATAATATATATTGTTTTATTAATTTAAAAAGTTCAGAGGGGTGCTCACTTCAAAAACATATATAACAAAATTTGAACAATACAGAGAAGATTAGCGTGGCCCCTGTGCAAGGATGATACACAAATCCAAGAAGCATTCCATATTTTAAGAAGTTTTTAAAAACACACATAATAAAAATGGTTTTAAGAATGTTACTAGCATTGTACTTGGGAAGAGTTTTTATTTCAGGGAATAAATGTGATATCCATTCTGTAATGCATTTACAGAAGTATCTAGAAGCACATGTAATAAAGATTGCTATATAGCGCTATCTGCAAAAAACACTAGAGTGAAAAATTGGAACTGTGAACTTATCAGTAAGATTAATCATCCCCACAATAGCCATAGGCTAGAAATTTCTTACCTTCTTATTAAGTGGGTTTCAGGTACTCTTTTCACACGCAGATGTTTTTAAACAGTTTGTTCTAAAACTGGCCCCCAGAAAATCAGAAATATCCCACTTTTTTTCCTCAGGAGAAAATAAACATAGTACATATTCAGACAACACTTAAAAATACCTTGTGTACATCCAGAGATTTTGGCACCTAATCTAAGTTCCTCGAATGGTCATTTTCTGTTATGAATCATATAAGTCTATACTGTTATAAAAATAAGAATAAGTGGATAACTTGAAGTATAAAATAGTACCCCCACTTTGAAGAAAGGTTTGGCAGTTCCTCATAAAGTTAAATATACCTTTATTCTTTGACTTAGCAATTCCACACCTAGATATTTGCCAAAAAATAAAAAATAAAAATATATATATCCACAAAAGCATTTTCCCAAAAATGCTCATAGAAACTTTATTCATAAGTGGCAAAAACTAGAAATTCAAATTCCATCAAGAGAAAAATGGACAAATTTTAGTACATTTGTACAGTGGAATACTACTCAGCAATAAAAAATATTGATATGCACAACAACATGAACAAGTCTAGCAGACATTATGCAGAGCAAAGAAGCTGAACACAAGAGTACATGATTCCATTTATACGAAGTTAATATTAGGAAAAACTTAACAGTTTTAAAAATCGTAAGAGTGGTTGCCTCTGGGTGAAGGAGATGATTAATTGGAAAAGAACATGAGGGGACTCGCTGGGACAATGGCAAAGTCTGTTCTCTTCATGGGGCTGTAGGTTACATGGCTGACTATAGGCATGTGTCAAGTCATCAACTAGTACAATTTAAAATGTGTGCATTTCACTATATAGTAATTCTATCTTGAAAAATAGTAAATGTATATATTTCTTAACATTTTTTAACCTATGTCATGCAAATAAATCAAAGTATGGCTTCTTTTACGCGCGTTCCCGTATGGCTGTTTGTGAACTTAAGCAGCTCTAACAACTCAATGAACATATTTAATTCTGCAACTGTGCATCATTTTCCTAACTGGTCTATTTTGCAGAAGGCAAGAACTCATCTTTTTTTTTTTGATTTAAATTGTTGGTAATACAGCACATAAATTGCCATTAAACATGGCAATGCAATGAGAACTTCTAGAAGGAACAGGTGGGATCACTTCCCATTTTTTTCCTTACGACTTTGAGAATAAATCTCCCCCAAATGACACCTTTCTCCTTCAAACACTTCAGTTGTATATTTTATAACTTTTACATATGTCATTTTTACATGACAGTCACAGCTCCCACCTGGAGTTTTGCAACACTGTCCGCATGTTACCTTTTTTTTTAGAATATGCATGTTTTATTCTGAATAATTTTGCATAATAAAAATGAAAGTACAAAATAATTAACACAAAATATTTTAACAAGCTGAAATAAATCATGAAAGAAAAAAGCAGAAATGTAATCCACAGCAGAGTCTCCAAAAGTCTTAACATCCTTCCAGTTTCACTAATGGAAAAACTTGAAGGTCAAAATCTAAATCCCAGGATCAAGAGCCTAAAATAATCTACTATATACTACCTAGCCAATTAATATTGATGCTGAGAGTAGCGAGATTCAACAAGTAAAAAAAACAAAAAGATTAATCAAGTGATTTAATAGTCAGAGAGATTATAACTAACAAGCTAACAAAAACTTCAAGAATCTTGAGATACCTGTTAGACATTTCAGAAAAGACTGACCTTTTTCACTTCCTTGCATATTCATTCATTCATTCATGTATTCTATCAATAAGTATTTATTGGGCATCTATTATGTACCAGAATGTTCTAAGAGCTTGGAATATGAGGGAAACAAACAGATAAAATTCTCAATTTTTCAATATGAGATAGAATGTTTGATAACATACTAAGGGGAAAAAGTAAGGCAGGGAAAAGGGATATGCTATTAAGGGAAGGGGGTTGAAATTTTTAACAAAGTAGCCAGGAAAAGCCTTACTAGAAAGATGGGTTTTGAGTAAGGACCTAAAAGAAATGAGAGAGATAGATATGCCAATATCTGGAAAGAGCATCCCAGACAAAAGCTCTGAGATGGGACAGCACCTGGCAAGTTTCAGGAGCTAAAAGGCAGCCCTTACAGCTAGAGCAAAGAGAACAGTGGAGCGGGGGAGACGGCAAGATCAAAGAAGCACTGGGAGCTGGATGACACAGAGCCTTTCAGGCTATTGTACAGACTGGCTTTTACCACATGTGGGATGAGCCCACTGAAAAGTTGAAAGCAGAAGGGTGACACGATCTGACTTCGACTTTAACTAGATCATTCTTGCTGGCCTTTTGAGAATAGAATAGGAGGGTCAAGAGTGAAATAGGAAAACCATTTAGAAGGCTACTGCAATAATCCGGATGAGAATGAGAGATAAGAGTAACTTTAAACAGGGTGGAAGGAGTGGAAAGTCGAGAGAAATGGTCAAGTTTTACATATATTTTGAAGGTAGAGCTAATAAGATCTACTGGCAGGTCAAATGGGTGTGAAAAAGAAAGTCAAAGATAACTGTAAGGTTTGTGGAGTAAGCAACTGAAAGAACACTGATCTCCCAATTTGGGTAAAGTCTTTGTCATACTGATGTACTTCCACCCTCTTGCAAAGAGGGAATTGCAGTAGAGAAAAACCTGCTGGTGAAAATAAAATAAACAAATAAAACCCCTCTCCCTAAGTGGTAGGTAAGCTCTGAAATTCTTTCACAGAAGCGTTATTCCTCTAGCTGGAGTCTTTGAATCTAATTAAACACAAACTCCACATTTTCTTATTGATCTTTGCTGATAGATGATTTTGATAATAAAAGAGAATGCAATCACTGTATACAAGAGGATGGAGTTGTAAAAAGATAGTGCTTAATTGGGAGGTGGGGGTTTTCAAGGGTCCACTTCAGAACTGAGTTTAATACAGGTGATAATCTGAAACATAAAATAGAGTAACCTTCATACAATTAAATTGCATTAAATATGCCATTAATTTGTAGTGTTCATTATTCAATAAAGTTGATATGGGGGTCAAGTGAAAGCTCTGAGTCAGACAGAGTAGATTGAAATTCAAAGTCTACTGCTTCAAGGTGTAGGTGTTGGGCAAGTTATTCATCTGTTTCTTCACATCAGAACTAGATATACAAATGCTCACTTAAATTGTTGTTTTAACAATTTAAAATATTTGGCACCTTTTAGTTCCCTAATAATACTACTTGTGATTATTATTATTATCCATTGAAGCAAATTTTCTAATTTAATTTGGTAATGTTTGAATTATTTAAACCTGAGAATCCATAATGTCTTATAGAAAAAAGGACAATAAATATTTATTGTTGGATGAAAAGTTATTTTGAGTATTTATTTACATGAGTGCTATTTAGAAGGTTTGGATTAAGTTTCAAGAACCTTTCTTCCTTAGCACCTCATTTTTGCTTAGGACCAGTGGTGAAAATTGAGCTGTGGTAGTAGATTCACTAAATATCATCCCAGCCATCTCTTCTCTTGCTTTCTCAACCACAGAATCTTCTGTTGCAGCTAAAGGTAGAATATGGCACACTTCTAACCAATGAAATGTAGGAAAGTCTCCTGGGTAAGGCTTCTAGAATGGTTTTTACTTTCCTAATAAAAAGGACCAGTCCATGCTGATACATTTAACACTTTTTTTTCTTTACATTATTGTCTTTTCCCTTCATTCCTGCATGAAATGTGGGTACAATGCCTTGAGGTCTATCAGCCATTTGGGGAGTATTAGCCAATAACTATGAGAATAACATGCAACACCCTAAGCACGGCAGAACATAGAGATGGAAATAATATGTATCCTTGAAAAGAGCATTGAGACATAGTAACAGTTGTGAACTATCAAACTCCAGATATCCTAGTTTGTGAGAAAAATTAGTCATTTGCTTTTCCTTGCAGCTGAATACTGTCTTAACTGGTTCACCACTTTTCCTTATACTAGACAAGCAATATCTATCCACTTCGTCCTTATATTTTATCTTGTCATTTTTTTTCTAATAAGGTACACTATTATCACTATTCCATTCTCCCTATTTAAATCATATAAGCTATTTTTGGAAAACAATTTTCTGAAAATATACCAATGTGTTTTTCACAGAATCTTTTAGTAAACTTATGCGAAATATATACATATTACTACTGTTTCTAAAAGGCACAGAATTTTTTAAACCAAATTCACATCACAATATAAGAATTTTTTAAAATATTCATGGACTTTTTTTTAAATAGCTAATAACTTCTCTCAGAAAATTCATAAATATTCCCTAAAGATTGAAAGCAATTTTTTTCCATTTAAAAAGGAGATTTTAGTCTGTTCATCGTAGAAGGAAATAAATGTGAAGTACACTTTTAACCTAGAGTTGTTGTTTCCTCCTCTAATGCGATAAATATGATGTTAATGGTAGCATTGCAGCAGAGTGGAATGGTTTCCTAGGCAAATCAAGCCTATGTCCCAAACACCCATACTAATTGCTGGATCTTTCTTAATTTTTCTTCTTTCTTTCCTTCCTTTCAATTTTTTTTCTTCTCAGTCTGGTACATGACAATTGCAAAAAGGAATAAAAAAGGTGATGGAGAGGAATGATGTCAGCATCATGGCAGAGTGAGCTCTCCTGGTAATCTCTCCTCTTCACCATACAACAAAGACAACATTCATACTCCAACAAAGGACATCCACACAACACAAAGGACATCTGAAAGACCCATGCAGCCACAAGAG